AAAATAAAAGAATTTACCGAATTAACTGTACCCAACATGACAGACAAGGACTTTAAAATTCATTTTCGTTTGACAAGAGAGAGTATTGAGGTCATACTCATAATATAATAATGTCTATTTAATTAATTCATATTTTTATTTTGTAAGTTATACTATAATGTATAGTTTTTTTTTTAGATTTTAATTTTAAATTTGGGTCCTTTATTGTCAAATTCAAAGTTCAAGTGTTCCGTTGAAAAACAAATACTGATGTTTATATGGTACATAGCTAATTGTGAAACACATCGGTTAGTATAAATTAAAACATCTAAAAAGATTAAATTAATGAAAAAAGAATTTAAATTATTTATTTTCAGACAAATAGCAAATCGATTTAATCTATCTGATAGCACCAGTCATGGGGTTATTATAAATTGCTTGGAACAAATGAATGCCCTTAATAGAGTTTTTATACAATGGCCAAGTGGTCAAAGGGCAATAGAAACTGTGGAAAAATTCAATGTGTTGGGCAAACTTCATTTCCAAATGTCATTGGAGCTGTTGATGGCTGTCATATTTCCATATTAGCACCTTGGGAGAAGAGAAGTGTGATGCCAAAATTAGACAGAAATATGTTTTACAACCGTAAACAAGTTCCATCAGTACTACTCCAGGTTTTTATAAATAAAAAAAAAAATGCATTTAAATATCTTTAACATAATATTGCTTTTCTATCCAAATTTTCCAATTCCGCCTATGGATTAAAATAATTTTTATAATGGCATATTTATTTTAGGGAATTGTTAATGCTGATCAAATCTTCATAGATGTTTTTGCTGGTTGGCCTGGCTCGTCACACGATGCTAGAGTATTTCGAAAAAGCAGAATAGGGCAGAATATTTAAGAAAACCATGGCTCTATACTCCCCCCTAATTGCCATATTTTAGGGGATGGAGCATATCCATTAACCGAAAAAGTTATGGTGCCATATAAGGATAACGGTCACCTAACACAAAATCAAAAAAATTTTAATAAGATTTTAAGCAGTTCACGTGTGGTTGTAGAACAAGCTTTTGGAAAACTAATTGGAAGATTTCGAAAACTAAAGTACTTTAGTCAATAAATTATTTGTTCTTTTTCTAGCATATTAAAGCATTTTTACTAATTAATATAGACATATGGATGTATACCAATAAGTCGTACTGTGGTAAGATTATCACTGCTGCATGTTGTCTACACAACATTTGTATGACAACTGGAGATGACTTTGATGCTGAGCCATATGTGTCTGAAACTGAGAGAGTAGGTGATCAACATGAAGATGGGACTAGAAGCGGAGTATTAAAGCGTAATACAATTTGCAATGCATTACTACTACAAGATCACATTTAAATATATGTTTATTATTTTTCTATTTTCACTTGACACTTTTACTAGAAGTTTTAAATAAACAAAATGTTAAATATACATAATATTGTTTTGACTTTATTACACATATATAAATATATAACAAATTTCAATTTCCTTTTGAATACTTATACTTTAATATAAAATAAAATTGTTTTAACAATTTAAATAATAAATAACAAACATAAATTATTGACTTCATTATAAAAAGATCACATAGTTACTTTAATTCACTTAAGCTTTCATAAACTTGGGTATAAAATAAAAAATTAAAACATAATATAACATTTTGTTCAGACTGAAAATATGCATAAATAACAAACAAATCTACTTAATTAAACAGAGGATAGGTTTAATATTTTGAATTATTATTCCTTCAATCAATCTTAAACATTTTTTTGAACATGTCCAACTTTTGAATTTCAATATCATTAGCTGTGTTTAATTTGTCAACAAGTTGCTTTTGAACTTCTAACATTTCATTTTCTCTTGTCTCCAATTTATCAAGTCTAAATGATGTAAATATTTGGTTCAGCAAAATTTTAAATCAAATTAATATTTTATAACTCACCTTTTGTTCAGTTCAATACTTTGTTTACTGATTTGATCTTTTTTCATATTTTCGTATTTTTCAAACCATGATGGTGTCTTGGCTTTAAATGCAGAACAAGAATTATTTGGTTGCAATGTTGGTGATATTGCTGTTTGTGATGGTGTAGGTGTTGTAATATGTGGTGGTGGATTAAGAATGATGTTTGATTTCTTTGTTTTCGATGTAGAAGTAGAACTACAAGGCTCACTGTAAGATGGATGAGATGACTCATTCAGTAATTCTAAAAATATAAATCACAGTATTGAAAACTATACAATCAATACAAAGTTAGACTTAGTATATCCAGAAAAATACAGAACCAGTGACTTATTAAAACATCTTTTATTACTAATTATAAAAAAAGCATTGGGAAAGAAAAGTAAATAGCCACAAATAGTTAAAAATTAGATAATGGAAGTTATTGAAAATAAATTTTCATTAAAGGCTGATGAGTATAAAAATGTTAACAATAAATCTGAATTATCTATATCTTATGCATAACTTTTTTTTTCTAAATAATCAACCAGTTGAGCATTTACTTGGTATTGTAGATTTATCTGATACCTAAGCCCATACAATTGCAAATTAAATGCTGAATTAATAAAACACAGTCTATCCTAGTCATCTTATATTATAAATTTACCTTTTGGAGGAGATATCGACTGTTTTTTTCCTAAAGGTATGATTGCTTCATCCATCAACTTATAATACTGCCATTTAACTGCATTGTTACCTGATTTTTTTGATAAATCATAATATTTTCTATGTTGAGCACTTAGTCTACGCCATTTCTCATCACAAACTTTAGGCGAAAACGAATAGCCCTTTTCAGCCATTTCATTTGAAATTAGCTCCCAGAGTTTGGATTTTTTACCTTTTTTTTTTGCTGATAAAAATTGAGCACTATACGAGACACGCAATGCTATAAGAAACTTGGTGGATTCAACTGACCATGTTCTGTCTATAAAAGCCACAGGTAAAATAATCCATGGAAATAAAAGTCACAGAAAAAAAGCCAAATAAAACTTTTGCATAAAATTAAAGTATTCAAATATTTAATTTTTAATTTTTAACATGGTGTAATAAATGGTGTCAAATGTCCATAATATATCAATTAAAACATTACAATAATGCACATAAATCTTATATGGGTAGGTTATTTACCTTTATCTTCTTCAACGCTAATGTCATTATTTACTTCATTAGAATTAGAAATTTCTTCATACATTTGTTGAATTATCTCTTTCTGTGTTAATTCCTGTTCATCTTCATACAATTCTATAAGTGTAGTATATATTAAGATTAAAATGGTTGGTAAATATCAGTAGACAATAAATAGTAACTACCTATTATTTATACACCAGCTATTATAAATTTCAAATTTACCTTCAATATAACTGTCCATGTTTGTTTCTAACATTTGCCATTAAGCCATCTCTGATGGCTTTGATGTGATGTGATGTCGGAATATTGAATAATTTATAATAATTTATAGTATTAATATATTATTAATAGTTATTTATAACTTAAAATATTTATAATTTTATATTTTCATTATTGAATATTGTTATCAGTGATAAGACGTTTGAATTAGAGGGGAAGGCATCGGCATCGGTATTACTAACCATATCATCGATATGGTTCAGAAAAATTAAACCGTTTTCATAAATAAGTTCCACCGGTTTGAACAACGAATTTCTTAAATTCACACCGGTTTTAATTTTAAGGGGAAATATACACCG